AATGTGATCCACTGGAGAAGAAAATGGCAACCCACTCCAGTATTTTTGCCAAGAAAACTCCATGGACAGTAACAAATGGCCCCTAGTACTAGGTTACTTATTATCTTTGAAAAGTGCTGGACTGTTGAACTCTTCTATCAGGGTTCATTTGGCAGTGATTTCTGTTTTTCATGCCCTGGTAGAAGGGAAATCTTTTTTCTCATGAGATTTCTAAGAAATTCCTCAGGGGCCTCAACAATTTATATCCACCTAAAGCCCCATTTTACTTCAATGGTCACTTTTATTAGTGTTTCTACATCTCATGCATGCTCCTTTTGAACCATTAGACACCTGCTCTTTGGATCATCTCTCCTTCAAAGTGTCCTTCTTAGTAACCATTACATTGGCTAGACAGGTAGGAGAGATCTCAGCACTCAGGGTGGATTACCCATTCATAAAGCTTCATGGACATAGATTAATATTAAGACCCAGTATGCAGTTTCTACTGAAAGTAGTTTCTAGTTCCACCTTAGTCAAGATATCTCACTGCCCACCTTTTTCCTGCGACCAACATCCCATGCTGAAAAGAAATTACACACATTGGATGTGAAACAATCTTTACTCTTATTTAAAGAGAAAAAGTGAGTTTAGAAAAACTCCATGGTTGTTTTTTTGTTTCGCTGGAGTCTCTAAAGGGAAGCCTGCATGATCCCAGTTGATATTACGATGGATCGTCTCTGCAATCAAGATAGCTTATGGAAAAGCAATCATTCCATGTCCTCTACACATACGGGCACACTCGACTAGGTCGCAATCAACATCAGTCGCAATTCAGTGAGGCATTCCGTTATCAGAAGTATGCAAAGCGACCACCTGATCCTCTGCTGATACTTTCATAAAGCACTACTCAGTGGACGTTAATACAAGAAGGGAAACAGCAGTGGGGGCAGCCATCTTACATTCTAGTTTCCAGTGAGACGCTCACCTCACCTCCTGGTAAGTCAGCTGGTCAGTCTCCCATGTGGGACCGCACAGGATGATGACGATGAAAACAGTGTTGCACTTACCTGTAACTGTTGTTCACTGAGTTGTTGTCACTGTGCGGGCACACATCCGTCCCTCCTACCCCACTGTGAGCTTTTGTCTCTCCAATAATAAACTGTTATCTCTAACTCATAACGACGGCTCAGGAGAACTGAGGGAGTGTGCAGAGCCTCTCCTCGGAGCATATGACCGTTGGGAGGGAAAGGACACCAACATCTTCAGTTGGGGGGGGGCTCCTCCTACTTTGTTGCTAGCCTAGCTAAAAAAGATTCCAGTGGCTCACCAGCGTGCCTGTGCCATACTCATGTGTGCCTGCACAGTGACAACTCAATGAACAACAGTTACAGGTAAGTGCAACACTGTTTTATTACCGTTATTCCAAGAATCACAGCAATGCTTACCCACAAGGCACAGATGTGTGTTTTGCTTAGACTCTGATCCTTTAAGCATCACTTTATCAGTCCAATACAAAATCCAATTAAACTGGGCTTTAAGCCAATTTAGTCCCAATGACTTCAGCCAGTTCGTTTTAGTAGTTCAGATGAACTCAGCTGCAGATTGGACAGATTGCTATTCTGAAAATAGCTGAGGATAGGGCTGTCTTATCCTCAGACCGTATGCTAGGGGCATAGTATTCTCTGGCCATCTTTCAGAGGGGAAATGTGATGGAAACACCCCTCAGCAGGGCTCTGACTACATAGTCATAACACGGGAGTGGATAACAACCCCGCCAACATCTACCAGTTATGGAGTGCCATGCCACTGATGCCCTTGTGAGTGGCACACAGGGATGAAGCCAACCATCTCCCATCACTGCTGCCTTGGCCCCTGGAGTACTAAAAAGCAAGAGGAAAAGAGCAGTGTCCCATTTTGTTCCAAAGTAGGATGATGCTATGACCAGAAGGATCCCTGGAGTTAACATTCTGCAGATAAGAGTTTAAGAGAAACAAGTTGCATGGCCTGCCACCCCCAACAGAAATCTCCCAAGATCCTTTGACCTTCTGATGCCACAGAATATATCCCAAAACAATTTAGCCTTAAAGATGCCTTAAGTGAAAGGAGAACATGCAGTGTGATATTAAAGAAAAGTTCCTTGATCAAAGAATGAACTGCAGAAGGTGCTCTGGGAAAATATCACTAATGCTTCTTTGAACCTCCAGAGGTCCTCAGACCCTTTCACCATAAGTAACAACTTAGGTTTGCAGGCTAGTGTTCAAAGCTCTTGAATTTCCCCCTATAAACACAAACCCCAAGTGATACAACCATAAATTAAGGAAGAACCACTTGTTCCTCTCTGGGCTATTGGTGGATCTTGTGTCAAGAATGCTATCTTGTCTAAATCACATTCCATCAAATCCATTGAAAATGTGTTTATGCTGGTGCCCCTTCTACCATAGGTTGATTGCCCCATCCTATTAGAACCTGCCCCTGGTCTTGCACCAGTGGGGTCCTGGATCCTGAAAAAGGATCAACATGTTCAGGCACCCACCAATGGGCAGCCAGGTTCCAAGGCTTTGGCTCAGTGCCATTACAAATTCTGATTCTGCACTAAAGTAAGCCAATAGCAGACTTTCTCTATTGGCACCCAGGTAAATCCAGGTGTATAAGAAAGGCATCCCTAGCTCTTGATCTTCGTTGTTGATTCACCTTCAAAACCAGCTTCCATCAACACAAACATAAGGCCACTAGATCTGTCTTTGCTTACTACGTGCAAACACTTTCCCCATTGCAGCTTGGTTAAGGACTCTTTCTATTCTGCCTTAAATTCAAATCGTGTCTATTCTGCCATACCTTCTGGTCCCAATTTGGGCAGCTGTCCTCCATCTACTCTCTCTGAATTGGTTTGTTCTCGACTAGCCAAATGGAAGGAATGCACTTTGGAGTAAAAAGTAACTTCAGTTGGGTATTTAGAATACAAGCACATATTAGGATTGCATATAGTGACTAATTTTCATTGATTTCTCTCTTGCGTTGTCATTTTCTAGTCAATTTGGTTGTTACTTAGGTGCTAGTCTCCCTTCCATTCCTTAACTGGGATTTATTGTCCCAAACTGGGGTGGGAGTTCTATATACAGCAAACTAAAATGTCCCCTTTTTATCTCTGAACTTGTGTTTTGGATCTTTCACATGAAGAGGATGGTCTTGCAGGGTAGCCTGACATGAGGACTCATTTGGGTAACAGTTCCTGCCTACAGCTAAATTCCCCTTTGTGAGGCAGATGTGTAGGGTGGAAGAACATGGACAATCCATCTGCAGTATTCCCATGATCTTGGAGCTCATGTGGCACAGGCAGCCACAGAAAATCACCAAAGACTCCTCCCACCAAAGGTTCAGGTCCCAGTCAAGTTAGGATGCAGGAGCATCAGCCTTTCCCCATGCAAGTGGAATGTAGTCACTGGGATAAGGGAACCCAAAACTACTCTCATCGTAATCCGATCACACAGACACACCCTGATGGTTCACTGAGAGGCAAACCGGAGGCATGTGTTCAATTCCCGTTAAGAGGTATGCTATCCAGAACACAAAGCTCGTATTTTACCCAGAAACAGATTGAGCAGCAGCAAAACAGGAAGTAGAGAGTGGACCACATCACCCAAACTCTAACCACTCACCCAACTAGATGCACAGGAACAAGACACCCTGTAAGACATTAGGTAAAGGTTTCCCTTGCTCGAAAGCTAGTCAAATCCAACTTTAGAGGGTGGTGCTCATCTCTGTTTCCAAGCCGAAGAGCCAGCACAGTCCAAAGTGGTCCCAGGTGAGGGCTGGAGTCTCTTCACCCTCACTCATATGTAGGGTGAGTTGTACTAGCACCCCCCCCCCCCAGGAGCAATAGGGTTTCCCCTTGGATATCTGTGCTTGAGATGCAGTACCTGTGAGGGTTTCCCCCCCCTTGCATGGGCCCCTGTGGAGTGAATTTGAACTACGCTAGGGTTTTGGGTGGCATAATGTGCTAGCTTTAGGTGTGTGTGTATCCAGGGTTGGAAAGGCCTTAGAAGTCAACTTACTCCACCAGAGAGCACCCCTGATGTTGCAAAAGTCTAACCATATGGTGTTACACTGGCTTAGTGCTGATGGGGCTTGTATGTCTAGATATACCAGCACAGGTGCTCAGTCACCAGCCGAAGCCAGGACTCAGACTGAATCTCTTGGACATACATGTGTAGTATATTGCAGTAACATCCCACTTGTAGTGGGGGAGATGCTGAGCCAGCTTTCCAAGTTGAATCCAGATAGGGCTGCGAGAAATTAATAAGGAAAGCCCTATCAGATAATTTTTTTTTCATTGAAGCACTTGCACACTGCTCCATACAGTGATTGAGAATACCATGTTTAGAATCAAATATTTAAAATGTTCACCTTCTCTTATGTCATTTCTCTTCTTATGTGAAGTTAGGATATGTGGACTAGAATGGTACAGTGTTCAACTTTTAAAGATGTTTTGATTAACAAAAGGTACTTTGCATTATACTGCTCCTAAGAATGGTGTTTCACACAACAGATAAATAGGTGCACTGTTCTTCAATTTGGCTTTTGCCATCCTCTACCCAGGTCTTCCTTGATGAGTTACTTCAGAATTACGTCAAGATGGCTAGCTGTGTTAGTCTGTAGCAGTAGAAAACCCCAGAGAGCCCTAGGGTCGGGGTCCCAGAACCGACTGACTGTTCCGGGCCCCAAGGATGCCAGGGTCGCCACCACTAGGGCCAGGGCTTTCTCAGTGGCAGCTCCATACTGGTGGAACGAGCTCCTGGAGGAGATCAAGGCCCTGAAGGATTTTGTGCCGTTCCACAGGGCCTGCAAGACAGAGCTCTTCCACCAGGCTTTCAACTAGGAGCCGCCCCCACTACTACCAATAAGCCGGCCCGTAGTAGGGTATGAACTTTTGTGAGTCACTGCTCACTTTTTCAGATACCTGAAGAAGTGAGCAGTGACTCACAAAAGCTCATACCCTACTGCAAATTTTGTTAGCCTTCAGAATTAGACTGAATCAAAACACTCTGTATGTGTGCGTAAGATAGAAGGGGACCAAATCTAGAATAAAACTGCATCATTTCCTGGAAGTTCAGCATATCATACTACAAACTTGTAATATCCTTGAAATTATAGTTTTACAAAAGGATTACAGAAGTTCAGCAAAGAATTCCCAAAGAAAACAGAGCTGCATTTATTGTAACTGCTATTTTTCAAATGTCTTCTTGTGAAGTCAAACTTTCAGGTATTGTGCCTGCACTAGCTGGAAACATCAGGAAAGTTTAAGATTCCATCGATGGCATGGCCTCACCTCAATCATCCCAAGCTAAATTGCTCTAGGAGACTAGATGGGAGAGGCTGCACTCCTTAATTCTCACCTCAAAGACAGTGCTCTTGAAGAAGAACAGTTCAATAACAACTCAGTCTGTAGAGTAATCAAGGAAACAGTGGGATTGCTGGAAAACTGTAACAAGAAGAACCTATCCAAACCATCATGGATATATCCATTATTGATTCTTCTCTTTAGCAATGTTCTTTACAAAGATCTCTAGTGCTGTGCATAGGCAGAAGGGAGGGACAAAGTACTGAAACTGATTTCAACCAAACTTAACAAAAATAAGGAGGAAAACTGGGCTGTGTAATAGCACTATCGATTATGACCATTAGGAACAAGGCTACAGAAGAATATAATTCCCATTCTAGACCATAGATTCTGTAGGCTTCATTCATTAGATGCAAGGTGAAATCTCCTCGGGTGTTCCCCAATACAACAGAGTTTGACCTTTGGTACTTGAATCTTATTGCTGTCTTTGTACAGGTTCTATAGTCAGCAAACCACCACTAGAATGGAACCACCACTAGAATTTTTTCTGTGCTTCTTTAGCAATGGCTAACATTTCTGGTAATAGCATTACTGCTATACCCTTTTGGTCTCATACAGACTAAACCTGGAATACTGTCCCGCTGTACAAGTCAGCTGGTTAATCACTTGCACTCTAATTGCTTCAATCGTTAGAGGTAATTGTTCTTTGTATACAGAGAGATCCTCTTTTCCCTGCCTTTGGATCTGCTTGGTGAACTTTGAGTTCCTTTTGTAATAATCTCCCCCTTTTTATCCTGTCTCTGATGAAATACTGTTGTTTTTAGGTTTCACTTGCAGATCTGCTCCCATTTCCACAGGTTCTTTCCCTGAGTGTTGTATTGCTGTGCATACCTCAAACATTGGTGTGATTATTCCTTTAAGGGGATATTTATAGATGCATCAGCGACTTTATCTGTTTGTTTTGCACCAGGGATCTTAGAATTTAGGAGATTATATATACACAAAGGCCTTCTTTTGCCTTCCTCATGGTTCTGATGTAATTGTTCATCAGCAGAACAAACCATAGAGGATGGCTTCCTCCTAAAACAAGCCACATGGGCATTTTGAAACAGACTACTAGTCATGACCCTTACAATGATGCTTGATGCTGATAACACTTTGTCATCTTTCATAGCTGTGATCATATCTACTGAAAGCATGTGAACAACAAATTTTAGCCGAGTTTGTGACTGATGTCATCAAAGCTCCCTGATAGTTTGCAGATACAAGTTAAATGTTGCTGGGGGATGGAAAAAAACATGTATCACAGTACTTTTTTGGCTTTGCTTAGTGCAGCAGTGAATAAAGAACTGAATAGTTAGGAATAGATGCCCTTCCCATTAAGTCAGCCATTGCAAGGTAACTTATGATGACTTAGATACAAGACAGGATCATAAAACTGCTACATTTTCCAAAGGTTTTCAGCTAGTGCAGGTGCAATCTTCAAAAGCATTTCTGCAGTGAAGACATGTAGAAGATCTACAGTTCCTACTATTTGAAAATGGATTAATCTTGCAGGGTAAGTGTGGATGAAGTCTTCTAGTGCCGCATTATATTCAAATAAAACCCCTCAAATTAGCACATTTACAACAATAGTGCAACTTAACTGGTATTTCCCCTTGGAGTTATTTTGTGTGAACACAGAGGTTTTCCTTTATCCATGTTTCATGCAGACCTGGCATCTGCTTATATGTCTGCGTTGTTCTTGACCATTTTTAAGCGTCCCTGAGAGGGGAGCTGATGCAAATTGCAACTCTGGATTTACAGTAATTAACCAGAAGCTGTATTCGTTTGCAAAAAATTGACATGTTCCTCGCTGACCCTGGCACTCAATAAAGGGTGCTGATCTGAAATCTTCAAGGCAGCTTCCCGTTGACATGAGAGATTGTCCACCTCCCTGGTCACCAGATCCAGTATGCTGGAAGAAACAGGCCAAAGAAGTATAAGGCATCAACACTGTCACCTGATCCTATGCATGGTTACTCAGGAGTTAGTCTTCCTGTCAAGGGAACACAAGCTATAGTCCATTACTTAGATGGTAATGAACTCAGTGGGACTTCCTTATAAGTGGATCTGTTCTTGGTCATAGTGCTGACCAATGATTGTAGCAATATTCACAAGGTGAGCTTAATGCCCACACAATAGAACCATAATTCTGCACCATTTTTATCCCTTGGGAAATATCGCTACACATGTTTTAGCTAGAGCCAAGATGTACTAAATAATACATTCCAATATTTTTTATTGGACCGAGCCTAATGAAGCAACCCTTTTGACATTATCACCCATGTATTAAGTCAAGCATTGCACACAGAAGCACTCGTAGCTTCTTTAAGTTATGCAAATGATAGGGTGGCAGAAACCCAGGCCATTACGATAGTTCCTAGTTTTGCTATAATTACTGGGAAAACCCTCACAGCATAAAACAGTTATAAAATTATACTGGCACTTAAAATTTTAGGCTGAGATTTTGTTATTACAATTCTGAGTGGATATGTGTGTGAGAGAGGGAGTAAGAATTTGTTTTGGTTATGATAACTCATGGTTTATTTCAAACATACATTCATCCGTCCAGTTTCCACTAACTGACTGTGTATTGAGACATAAGGTAATGAACCACATTGATTTTATTAAATGATAATCTTAAATAAAAATGACACACTTATCAGTTATTCAATGATAACTGCAGTTATAATGTGAGCAACAATGTGTGGATTTTTATCTAGCTTCTGTAATGAACCCAGAACCAAGGCCAAAACAGTCTTCATTCAATCTTACCATCAAAAATGAGTATCCTATCCAAAGACTTCTCCAGTTCAGTGGACATGGAGGAATGGATTGATCTTGACTATGAATGGCAACAGCTTGGGCAGGAGCTTCACATACAGCACATCTGCTAATGTAGGGCCGTATTTCTTCATCAGAAATTGGCATCATGGGTAAAGGAGCAGCACTTGCCAACCAGTAAGATTTATCATTTCTGCTTGCATAGTAGCAGACCTGATTGATATTGCAATAAGCAAAAGGCATGGTGCTGAATACAGGAAGACAAGATCCAGCCAAACCTAGAACAAAGGAAAACAAAAGCAAGGTTATTTATCCACCCTTGAAACAAAGAATAGTTAAAGTCAGTCTTGTCCTACTCTGGTCTATACTGCCCAGCAATGGTTAACACTTAGTTACTTCTGTGGATTCACAGTAGCAGAAGGTTTCCTCACAATGTATGTTGTTGCCACAAAAGCCTCATTACATGTAGGTAACTGCCACAGTAATGGAGTCAAATAGCCGCTTGGGTAGGGCGGGATATAAATCCCAAGTAAATTTTTTTTAAAAATGTGGATGCATTTTTTATGTATTAGTTTTCAAGTGGAACTCTTTCATTAACCAAAAGGATTGTTATCAGGATAATATGGAGGAGGGGTGAATGATGTATGCTACCCTGTGTGCCTTGGAGGAAGGGAGGATTAAGAATGTTCTAAACGAATAAATAAAAATTCACACACATCTGGTATTTGTGGTTATGGGAAAAATTTCCTGTCTGACACTGGAGAGTGGAACTTACAATTTCACAGTCATTTCTTGAAGATGATAAAGGAATTACTACTGGAAGTAACAATTAGATAGTATATTGTTGCAGGTAATAATTTAGCCTAGTTGAATCTGGTATAAAAACAGAAAGTTGTATTGTTTATTTCTTTTATTATCTGCAAACAATTAGATTTTCTTGGGTTGTAAGTTTGTGTGCTATATTTGTATGTACTGTGTGTGTAAAGTACCATCAAGTCACAGCAACTATCAACATGGTTCATTACCTTATGTCACCCCCGGCAAGGCAAGAGAGAAGCAGAGGTGGTTTGCCATGGCCTTCCTTTGCAGAGGTCTCCCTTCTGAGTACCGATCCTGAGATCTGACGAGATCAGGCTATGCCGTACTGCCTTTCTCCCATTTGTATGTACTAGCACCACTGATTTCGCATTGTGCACTTTAATACTTGTATCTTTCTTTCCTATAAATCTAATTATTAAAAATGGCCAATGAAACAGCCCTTGTTGATGCCTATTTCTAAATGGATTTTACATATTCCACTTGTATGAAAATGCAGACTTGTGTTAAAATCCAAGCATTGATGCTGACATGGCACAGTTCTTCTGTACCATTTCATATTTCTATTGTTAAGTTTATTGTGGAAAACACCACAGTATTTCCACATGTGAAAATCTTACATGCTGGAGAGTACCATGAAATAACTGAATACTTATTTACAATAAAGTATTAATAAAATATTATTATTATTTATTTATTTAGATTTCTATCCCGCCCTCCCCGAAGGCTCAGGGCGGCTAACAGGGCATAATGCCAAGTAAAACAATAAAACAATATAAAATGTTAAGTTACGATGTTAAATTACAGATAGACGATTAATAAACAATTAGATAAACATCATAAAACATTTTCAGTGCTCCTCTTTTTAGTTCCAGATGTTAGAATTTTTGTTTAAGACCAAGATGGTATGCTCCCGTTTCCATTTTATACCCTGATAAATAGTTCAGTGCTTACCGAGGTCTTGATTATGGGCCTTTTCCTGTCCTTCAAGATATAGCAGACTGTATCCAGTCCACAGTCTTGCCATTCCCTCTGGACACAGCGGTTCTTGGTCTGATTGACTGTGCAGAACAAGCAAGAATCCACTAGCAGCTCCTGTTTCAGGCCCTGGCGGCATCCCAGTCTGGCCTGGAGGGCCTTAAGGAATGGAGACAAGATACACAACATCCCATTTAAAAGCAGGACCCGTTTCTCTACTGAATGAATGCCTTTCATTTTTCAGAACAGGTTAGAGAAAAGTTGCTAGGCTTCAGTGAAAGAAAAATACTTGATCATGTGTTGATCATTGGCAGTTTGAATGCAAGGTGCTCACTCAAACCAGTGGGAAAAAAGACAAATTATTTGACATAAAGTTTGAGAGACACATGGTTTCATCTCAAGGCTATAAAAACCAGTGTAAAAGCCAAATACAATCAGCTGCAAAACTAGTAAAAGGTAAAGGTAAAGGTTCCCTTGCTCGAAAGCCAGTCGAATCCGACTCTAGGGTTGCGGTGCTCATCTCAGTTTCAAAGCCGAAGAGCCAGCGCTGTCCGAAGACGTTTCCGTGGTCATGTGGCCGGCATGACTAAACACCAAGGCGCACGGAACGCTGTTACCTTCCCACCGAAGTGGTCCCTATTTATCTACTTGCAATTTCTTGCTTTCGAACTGCTAGGTTGGCAGGAGCTGGAACTAGAGATGGGAGCTCACTCCATCATGCGGCACCCGGGTCTCGAACTGCTGAACTACTGACCTTCCACAGCCTGCAGTTCAGCATCTTAACCACTTGAGCCACCGCAGGTCCTTACTACTTACTTACTTACTAGTACTGCCTACCAAATGGTGGTGAATGACTGCAGAATGCTTACCTTGCAGCCCTGGGTATCCTTTTTCTCCCTTGTCACCTTGATCACCAATGGATCCAGGTGCCCCAGGAAAGCCACTCTCACCTTGCAGACCTAACAGCCCTTCCTCTCCTTTTCTGCCTGAAATACAAAACATTTATCATCAAAGATCACAATAATTTAAGCTCTGTACCTCAGCAACAGTTCCCTGTGGTTCCCTTGTGCAAAGTGGTTCCCTTTAGGTGGTTCTGCTGGGAGTGGTCAGGAGGGGAAGGGCAATGGTAGGAGAGCCATTAGAAGCAACCAGGTCCGAGGCACTGACTGGTTAGCAGTTCATGCTGATATCAGCAATCTATAGTGGGAGCTACTAGCCAGTCAGGAACCATGCACTTGATTGCAGTTGGCCATGTTGTCCCATTCGCCACTGCCCTCCAACACTGTACTTTGCTCTTTCTGATTAATTGCTCTACAGTGGCAACTGACCAGCAAACTGCCTCACTAGTCACTGCTACCATACATAAGGTTATACTATTACATCTCAAACCATACATTCAAGAGATCAGAATTCTCTCTAATGGAATAATTTGATATATTTCTGGAAATTGTTCAAACTATTTTTTTCTTTTAAAAATAGACATTGAAAATCAGTGTTTCACATTCAACTGCTTCATTTGCCTGTTTATTTAAATTCAAAAACCTTATAATCTTACAATGAGAAAGAACATAGTAGAAATTGTAGTTTTGTGTTAAGTTCTAAAGAAAACTATCATCACCAAATTTTCCATTTTTTATGAGATTTAACCACAAGCACATGATAGGAGTTGCAATGTACACTGAAAACACAGTGAAGCTCAAAAATCAAGAGACTGCTACCAAATGAATTTTTTTGAACCAGTGGTATGCAGTAGTTAGAATGTCACACTAGGATCTGGGATACCCAGGTTCAAATCCTCACTGGATAACTTGCGCCAGTCATATACTCTGATCCTAACCTACCTTACAGGATTGTTGTGAGAATAAAATGGAGGAGGGAATGATATAAGTTGTTTTGGGGCCCTACTGGGAAGAAAGTTGGGGTATAAATGAAGAAAATAACTAACATTCCAGGAAACAAATTCAAGGTTTTTAGCTAAATTTTCTCATATATAGTAGGACCAGCCAGTGAAATCGTGTTTCACTCTTACTTTTGCTAAAATCCTACAATGGTATGATCTCTTTGGTGAAGATATCAAAGGAAAATGGAATAAGTGGCTAAACTAGGTGTGATAAGATATGCAGGAATACTTAAGCACAAACTGAAGTCAACCCGGAATTGTGTATGTTTCTGAGACTTCTGAACTCAAAAATAATATATCCCATTCTAAGGTTGGACTTCTTGGTCTCTTTTCCTCACCAAACACCCTTCAGAGTCATAAAAGCGTTACCTTGGGGACCAGGGAAACCTGGTGGCCCTGGAATTCCTATGGAACCCGGTGACCCTCTTTGGCCTAATACTCCGGGAGGCCCTGGAGTCTTGGGACATGAGGAGTAATCAAGTTTTCCAGGTTCGCCTGGGTCACCTGAAATATGCAACAGCACTAAACAAGAGCCAACAACTAACAATGTTAGGCACATAATTCACAGAAATTCCACCTGGTTTTGGATGGTTTTTCTCCCCTGTATTTGACTACATAATTAAGATTTGCAGTTTATGTTTGAGATGGGAAGCAGAATGCACAAGAAAATGTTATTAATACTTGGCAGTGTTTATACCTTATTATTACTTTATTGGAATGCAATCAAACCAGAAGAAAATGTTAAAGAAGAAATTTGAAGAGATATATGGTATACTAGCAGTAAAGCCCGTTGTGAAAACAATACAACGGGATCTAGAAAGAGGCTCTGGGGGAGTGCTCTGGCTTTGGGCAAACAGGGTCAATTTGCTGTGGTGACCTAAGCAGGGTATAATGACATAGTCCACTGTTTTCTCTGGAGGAGTTAGATGTCATAATTTTCTTGTTTGTCATATGTATAATGACGGCAATAAAAAATTGTAAACATTAAATCGGCTCATGCAGACACCTCCCACCTCCGATCGCCGCCCGGAGTGGGTTGGGGGGGGGCGGGGAAAGCTGGAGTGGGTTGGGGGGGGGAAGCTGACAGTGGTTTGTTGGGAAAGCCTGGAGTGGGTTGGGGGTCCCTGCGTCTATCTCTTCGCTCCTGTCTCCGTTGATTTCGGAGCCTGGTCACAGCTGGTGGCGAATCGGGCGAGGAGTCTGTGCTACAGCAAAGCCTGATCCTGTGCAGGTGTTTCCTGTGAGGCTCTATCCTCCTCATCACTTAGGGAGCTTTCAGCCACAGGAGCCAGTCTTTGCCTATAAGTCTCTGCTGCAGTACGTTCCTCAGGAGCCTGTGGTGTCAA